AAATAAAGCAACCGCAACATTTACTTCGAAAAGACCCAGAAAAAAATCCAAATTCACTTGCGTCAGATCATGTAAAATTTCAATGACGCTTTAAAGCGTCACCGGTCCCGAAAGGGTTAACAGTTTAAAATGCAATTGCATATTTTTTGCCATCTTCTAATCATAATTAATATAAAAAGATTTTTAAAAATAACATTACGACTGTAATATCGCGGATAATTTTATTCAAAACACTACAATTAAAACCTGTATTGTACTATATAGTTAAATTATAATGATCACTTATTAATTATACAATTTAATCAGTGTTATTCGTAAGATTGGCCGAAAATCATGGGTATGCTGGGAGATCGGTATAAGTAATTTCATCTACTATCTATAAAAATTGTCCAATAGTCTATATTTGATTTCTATTTTGTACATGATTGGATTTTCTTTTTTCTATGCGTGTTGGAAAAGCTTTTTATCTTTAAAATATTGAATAAAATTTCAATGAGTCAGACACATACCATCGGTGAATTCTAGCTGAATTATGCGTGTTTCACGTGAAAGATACATATCCGTCCAGTTGTTGAAAAAAATTTTCAAATGTGTTCCGATGGCTTTTATTCTTAATTCTGTCTTCAACACAATGTTTTTTGTATTCATACACTTTCGAGATAGAACAGGGTTGGAACACATTTACTAGACATTTGATGAATATTTTTTGGAGTGCAAACGCGTCTGGACGCAATCACTAAAAACGCTCCAGCCGCATCAAAATGCAGTTGAAGCATAAAACACGCCTAGACGCGGTTAAGAATGTTTTTTTAATTGCATTTAGATGCCTTTTATCTAAAATTGCGTCTAGCGGCATTTTTAACAATTTCTTACCTGCATTTAGACGCGTTTCATACAAATTCGCGGCCAGACGCGTTGCAAAGTTATTTTCAACCGCATCTGGACGCAGTTTATAACAAAACCGCGTTTGAACGCGGTTATCTAGTGATTGGTATTTATATGGAAGCGCGTTTGCATGCGGTTTCATTAAAAAACCGCGTCCAACCGCGATTCAAAATTTCGTATGACCGCGTCTAGACGCGATTTTATCTTCACTCGCATTCAAACGCGGTTAAAAAACGATTTTAACAGCGTGCAGACGCAGTTGCAATAAAATCGCGTCTAGATGCAGTAAAAATCGATTTTAGTCGCGTCTGAATGCAGTTTACAATAAAACAGCGGTGGAACGCATATATTCTGCGTGTGGTGTTTACATGGGAGTATCACTATCCTTTTTCATTGATAAATCTATGAATCAAACTAAAAGACATGTACACTGTCAACATTACAGATTTTACTTGACCATTAGAACTTCCATTTAGACTACTTTTTTATTGAACAAAATATAAAGAATTGATAAAAGTCAAGTGAAATAAAAATTTGTACACATATGAGAGACAAGAGGATATTTCTCTCTACTAGCGGACTTTTCTACGTCCTATGGGACTTTGCATTTATATTTTTTCCTATTCGAAATAGACAGAATGAACGTTTTTATCGATATGTCTCGAATAAATAACTTTATTTCATAGACATGATGAATGTGATAATACATCTTCTTTCAATATGACCTGCTCTCTTCTTGTTTAGACCTTGATTTGCAGTCATACATGATTTTAAACATCGAAACAAAACAAAATATAGAATTGATAAAAGTCGAGTGAAATAAAAATTTGTACATATATGAGAGACAAGAGGATATTTCTCTCATCTAGCGGACTTTTCATTTATATTTTTTCCCATTCGAAGTAGACAGAATGAACGTTTTTTATCAATATGTCTCGAATAAACAAATTTATTTCATAGACGTGGCTAATAAGATGATATAGCTATCCTTCAGCGAAATTCCCAGTTCCCTGGATTTCTTTTAGGAATTGAATTGTGTTGGTATATTTAAATTATATTGGAATATGCTGGAATAATATCAAGAAATATATCACAAATATTATTGAGTTATTTTTCTTTTGGTTTTATTACCGGATGTTTTTCAATATTACTTTTACTTTAATTCGAAATACTCTCTCAATTGATGTATGTCGTTATCTAATGAATATCCAGGTATGGATTGGTTCTATACTTCTTCATATTTTGTTGCTACTTTGTTGGAGCAGATAGAATTATATTGTTAAAAGTATAGGATATCATGTATGATTTATTCCTAAAAAATGATGACTACCCTCATATATGTAAACGATTGTTTTTTAAGAGAAAGGTCCTTATGATTTAGAAAAGTCTCGTGGTGAATATGAATAGTCCAAGAAAGGTCCGGTAGCATTGAGAAGAAAGTTGTGTAAAGCACATCTGAGAAATTCGCTGTCATTCTACTCGATTAGTAATATCCTTCATAAGTTCAAAGGACTTTTTGTAAAGTGGACATTTTCTGGATCTTTGCTAGCCCTCTAACAAGCATCATTTGTTTGAGGCCAATTTTCTTAAAATCACTGTCTTCTTGTTCTTTTTGTATTTAAAAAAACTCTTACATTATCTTTATCGAAGAAATGAAACACTTTCACTTTAGATAGAAGAATAGAAAAGAAAAGAAGAACAATTTTATTCTCTTATTGATTATTGGCTTAATCTAATTTGACAAAAAATTCTATTTAATCGATCTTTTTTTCTAGTTAGCTAAATTACTCGTGAAGGATAGAGACGAAAAAAAAACTACAAAAAAGCAGAATACAAGAGAAACTTTCGACATACATTTCCTGATACCAAGAGATTTTTTGACAAGAAGAGAATCAGAAAAACTAATACTCGCCTGCTGAAATTAAGAAATTTGTGAACCCTACTGCGAATTGATTCTATAGTAAAGCGGCAAGAGTTGATGTTTTTTATGATTTTAATATTTCTCACTCATTTTCATGATACAGTTAATGCTTGCATTAATTTAAATATTTAAAAAAAAATGTCTTTCTAAATAACATTACCACATTAACAACAGAAAAAAGAATTTAAAAATTGCAAAGTCATTATTAAAATTTATTCAAAATCAATAATAAATCATTAAAATGATAGTAAATATTAAAAGGCGCAACTGTTTTAGTTCATTCATTTAAGTTTTATCTTTTTAATCCAACAATTTTTAATAATATGAAACGCACAATTACTGATAAGAATAATACATTATCTTCATCAGCTTTAGTTTCCTTAGATGCGTATATTGTTCATATAAACAAAATTACAAAAAATAATACAAATGATGATCACCATTATTCATTCATTTTATGTATTGAAGATCAATCAACAGTTCGAGTTGTCAAATATTTATCTAAAGTTCCATATTGTTCGTTATATAATCGATTAAAAGAATCGGTTCGAAGTGGCCGAGGAGCTTCAATTACTTCGTTACGTGAGCAAAATGATCAATATACTTGTACAATGTCTACAAAGGTGATTGATAAAGATCTGAACTTTCGACCTGAATGTATTCGTGTGAAAAATATCAATATTTTAAAAAATGAAATAAACAATCGATTATGTACAGTAGAAGCACAAATCTGTTCTATTAGTGATGAAATTGCAGTTGTTTTTGAAGAGAATGAATTTAAACACGTGCAAAAAAGTAAAAAAAAATACTTATTAGTGATGCGACTGGAGCATTAGAAATGACTATGTGGGAAAGCCATTTTAATGGAATAGAATTGGGCAAATCATATCATATTCGATTATTAAAAATACGAATCTATAATGAGCAAATATCATTAGCTGCTACAACAGAAACATCGTATGTATTTGAAACCTATAAAATATAATGTAATGATGTTCTTTTATTTATTTGTAAGATTTATAAAAATTAATGATCTAACAAATGTAATCAGTCAAGTTGATAATAGTATAAATAGATACAATACACAAAAAGGAAAAATCATGCCTATAGAGAAATACAACAATCATTATACATGTCAATGTTGTGGTGGCACAAACGTAATTGATGAAGCAGGAATAATTGTCTGTATTGATTGACATTCTCGATTAATAAAAGACGAAAACATAACTGACAACTACTTTAAAATTACAATTTCGACTTTTAATAATGAACAATACCATTTAAAAATTATAAAACCGTTATTAATGCTTGTATTATCAGAAAAAAACTTCTGATTTCATAGAAAGCAATGATGGTATAAACCATGAAAATAATTTCAACAATATTATTTCTTTAACCGTAAACTTTACGTATAGCGAAATAACTGGTATAATTAGTGATATTTCAATAGTTAAAGAAAATCCATCACCTCTTGAAAGTATCTTAAATACTATGTTTACTGAATGATTTTTAGTAAAAAGTATTTTACCTTTTTTAGATGAAGTAATTGTTAAAATCTGAACATATCTCATCAACAAATAAACATAAAGCATTATCGATAGTACTAAATTAAATGAATATTCATCAATAAGAAAAATATTTATATTTGAGTAACAAATAATACTGCGCACATATAACTCTTATTTAATAAATACAAATTTAAATTAAAATAAATTATATATATATATAATTGTAGAATCGCGAATCGAATTAAAAAAAACCTAATGCAGTACTATCTATTTATATTTTGCATAACTTTTTCGTAACTTAAATTTACACTATCCCACTAATCTTAATGAATTTAAATAATGAACA